GGCTGAGGCAGGAGAGTCACTTGAACCCAGGAGGTGGAGGTTGCAGTGAGCTGAGATTGAGCCACTGCACTCCAGCCTGGGTGAGAGAATAAGACGCTGTCTCAAAAAACAAATTATTTAAAATAAAATTTTAAAAAATTCCTTTAACCCTAGGCAAAAATTTACATTTCCATGCCTTCTTATAACCTTTTACAAAAAAAACACATTTGGCCAAGTGCCGTGGCTCACACCCGTAATCCCAACACTTTGGGAGGCTGCGATGGGTGGATCACAAAGTCAGGAGTTTGACCAGCCTAGCCAACATGGAAAAACCCCGTCTCTACTAAAAATACAAAAATTAGCCAGGCATGGTGACACTCCCTGCAATCCCAACTACTCGGGAGGGTGAGGCAGGAGAATCGCTTAAACCCAGGAAGCAGAGGTTTCAGTGAGCTGGGATTGTGCCACTGCACTTCAGCCTGGGCAATAGAGCAAGATTCTGTCCCTAAAAAACAAAACAAAAAACATTTTACTATTCTTACACACCTTGCATGTAAATCTATTTCCAGTGGTCTCAACTACATAATAGTCAACTCCTACCAATTTTTAACTTTAATGTAAAACCTGGCAAGTTGTTTTGTGTGCCAGGTGCAGCCAAGGTTTGACTCCTAGCATAATTAAGGGTGTGGTTAGTTCCTTAGATTCCCAGGCCTTAATAGTTGTGAAACCAGAAAATCAAATAGTTCTCAAAACCAAAAAGCAGTTTATAACCTTAAAACACTTAGCAAACCTTGCATCTGACCTGCATAATTTGGTCCGCCTATTTACATTTTGAGAGCATCTGCTTTTTACCAGTAATTTTTAAGGCTGTTTTTATTTCTCAAGGATTAAAATCACATGAACTGAAAGATACCGCTGCTTTTATCTTCTCTTTTAATAAATATTTGATCTAAGCACTTGTCTTTTTTTAGGCCAAATTAATTAGAGCTCTTTTAACAGACATCATACATAACACATATGTTACACAGGCAGGCAGAAGAAAACCAATCGCTGGGTCTGACCCTTTAAGAGACAGGGCTAGGAAAACATGGAAATATCAAACCAGAAAGGAACTCATTCCCTAAGGCAGAATTGCTAAACAAAGCCATACCAGGGAGTTAGAGGCCAAGCCCCAGGTTGTAAAACAACATGGAGGCCTGCAGTGAAGTTCCCTAAGAACTACACAGACAGGCAGAGCACACCAGTATGCAGGCCAGTTGGGAGTTTCTCTGGGGACCCTTTCCCACCTGGCTGTCTCAGAAAGATAAGCATTAAATTATAAGGATTGAGAGCTGGAAGGGAGGAGGATCTTAAGGGCTTCACTGGCAGTATATCATTGCTTAAGTGGATGATAGGGTGCATCCTGTACTATATTTTATACTTCTTTGGGTGTCTGAATTATTTGATAATTTTTTAAAGCTACAAGACAGTGTGATTAGTGCTGTTAGGAGAAGGACAAGATGCTAAGGTGGCATTTGACAGAAGGCTAGTCTGGGAAGCTTACAGGAGGTCTGTCATTTAAGTTAGCCAGGAGAAAGCAGGAGGAGTGTTCCCAGAAGAAGGAACAGCCTTTCCAACATCCCAGAGAACGTGTCGCTTAGCGAAGGAACTGAAAGAAATCTGGGGTGAATAGAGCAGAGTTCTGTGATGGGAGAGGGGAGTCAGGGGGTGAACTAGACAGCAGAGTTGAGTACAGGCTTCTTCCTAAGTACAGTAGAAGCTGGTGGTGAGTTTGAAGGTGGAGAATAACTCGGGAAGTAATGATCATGGGCTATCTCACAAACTCAAGTTCAGTCAAATGATTTTTCTAAAAGAAAGCTCCTTTGCCAGAATGTCAGGAAGTTCAGGTACTCCCTCCTTCCTCTTTGCCCCCTGCCCCATTGTTCAAAATCGAGGAACTGAAGGACGCTGGCATCAGAGAGGTCTGGCAAGGCCATGGCCAACTAGTCATCTTCTGCCTAACATATAGCAGCACTTCTCTCTGGCCCAGCCCTCCTGGCATAAGCCACAGGAGTCACTGAGTGAATGTGCCCTTCTCTGTTCGCTTGGAGGTCAGCTTTGTCACACCCTCCACGTTCAGGAGAGTCTGTAGTCCCTGTCTTAGGGCTGTATATATAGCATAGCTGTTCCTGTACCTGAAATTCCCTTCCCCACCCAGACATCTCATGGCTCCTCCCTCACTTCATTCAGGTCTTAGGTCAACTGCTGCCTCATTTAAGGGGGTCTTCCACAATAACCCTATCTAAAGCTAAAACGTGCTGGAGCCCCGATCCTGCTTTTCTTCATTACACTAATCTCTGTCATTATATGTATTTTCCTGCCCTACTTGTACTAGAATGTACATTCCATGAACGCAAGGAGTTTGTTCTGTTGGCAAGAACCTTCTCATTAGACTATAATACATCAACAACAGCTCCAAAACCTCATGGCTTACCCCAACAAAAATCCCTTTCCTGTTCACGCTAATGCTCACAGCAAGAGCAGCAGTAGGAGGACAAGGTAGCAAATCCTACACTGGCTCTTCAGGCGCCTGCCTAGAAGAGATGTCTATGATTTCCTCCACATTTATCTGGCCAGAGCAAGACATATGGCTCCATGTTACCAATAGATTCAACAACTGTTCAACTCTCAGCAACTAGAAAAAGAGGGAACTTCTGGCGAGGCACAGTAGCTCACGCCTGTAATCCCAGCACTTTGGGAGGCTGAGGCAGGTGGATCACCTGAGGTCGGGAGTTCGAGACCAGCCAGACCAACATGGAGAAATCCCATCTCTACTAAAAATACAAAAATTAGCCAGGCATGGTGGTGCATTCATAATCTCACTACTCGGGAGGCTGAGGCAAGAGAATCGCTTAGACCTGAGAGGCATTAAGTTGTGGTGAGCTGACATCGCACCACTGCACTCCCAACCTGGGCAACAAGAGTGAAACTCCATCTCAAAAAAAGAAAGAAAGAAAGAAAAAGAGAGAACTTACTCAGTATGATAAAGGCATCTCCAAAAAACAGCTAACATGACATTTGCAAAGACTGAATGCTTCCCTCTGTGGATCAAGAACAATGCAAGGATGCGCAATAAGGCAAAGAAATAAAAAGCATGCAAACTGGCTCCATTCAGACGGCCTGATTGTACATGAGGAAAATCTGAAGGAATCTACCCCTCAAAAAGCTACTGGAACTAATGAGTTTGTGAAGGTCACAGAATTCAAAGTCAATATATAAAAATCAATTTTATTTTTATTTTCTGGATATAACGATGTTGACACTGAAAAAACTGGAATTTACAATAGAATTTTTTTCTTATAAAATGGAATTTTTTTTTTTTGAGACAGAGTTTTGCTCGTCACCGAGGTTGGAGTGCAATGGGACTGTCTTGGCTCACTATAACCTCCCCCTCCTGGGTTCAAGCAGTTCTCCTGCCTCAGACTCTTGAGTAGCTGGGACTACTGGCATATGCCACTAAGCCCAGCTAATTTTTTTGTATTTTTAGTAGAGATGGGTTTCACCATTTTGGCCAGGCTAGTCTCAAACTCCTGACCTCAGGTGAACTGCCCACCTCAGCCTCCCAAAGTGGGAATTTTTAAAATTTAACAAACCAGGTACAAGATCAGAACACAGAAAACTATGAAACATTTGAATGAAATTAAAGAATACCTAAAAAGTTGGAGGGATATACTGTGTTTCTAGATTGGAAGAATCATTACTGTTAAGATGCCAGTTCTCTCTAAATTGATCTTTAACTTCAGTGCAATCCCAGTCAAAATTCAAGGAGTTTTTATTGTTGTTGTTGTTGTTAAAACTGACAAGCTGATTCTAAAACTTTATGTGGAAATGCAAAGGACCTAGAACGGCCAAAACAATTTTGAAAAATAACAAAGTTGCAGGTCTTACGACTACATGATGTTAAGATTTACTAAAAAGGGACAGGATAGAGAGCCTAGAAATAAACACACACATTGGCTTTTTCTCCAAGCTTCCACAGGAATGTAATAAAGGAAAGGATAATCTTGTCAATAAATAATGCTGCAACAACTGGATATCCACATGGAAAGAACCTTGATTCTAACCTCACACAACATACAAAACTGAACTAAAAATAGATTATTGATCTCAATAAAAAAGCTAAAACTATAAAACTTCTGGAAGAAAATACAAGAGAAAATCGCCATGACTTTGGATTAGGCAAAGATTTCTTAAATAGCACATAAACCATTAAAAAAGAAAAACTGTATGAAAGACATTGCTAAGAAAATGGAAAGCCAAGTCACTATGAGAAAATATTTATAAAACATATATCTGAAAAAAGTCTTAATACCAGAATTTATAGTGAACTCTTATAATCCAATAATAAAGCAAATGACTTTATTTTAAAATGGGCAAAAGAGTCATGTATCAAAAAATATGTGTGAACTGCCAATAAACATGAAAAGGTACCAGCATCATCGTCTTTAGGAAAATGCAACTTAAAACTACAATGAATCCCGGCATTTTGGGAGGCCAATGTAGGAGGATTTCTTGAACCCATGAGTTCAAGACCAGCCTAGGTAACACATTAAGACGCCATCTCTACAAATAATACAAAAATTAGCTGAGCATAGTGGCATGCATCAGCTTCTTGGGAGGCTGAGGAGGGAGAATGGCTGGAGCCTTAAGGAGGCTGAGTCTGCAGTAAGCCATGATTGTGCCACTGCACTCCAGCCTGGGCAACAGAGCAAAGCCCTCAAAAAAATAAAAATAAAACCACTTACACTGAAAACTAATCACACCCATTAAAACAGCTAAAATTAAATAGGCTAAAATAAATAACAAGTGTTGGCAAAGACGTGGATCAAATGGAACTCGTACACTGCTAGGGGAAAATAAAATGGTACAACTACTTTGGAAAAGAGTTGCAAATCTATGAAATTAAACATATACTGACATATGACCATCTGACCAATCAGGTATTTGCTCAGAACAAATGAAAACAATTGTTACACAAAGACTTGTATTTTAAGGTTAACAGCAGTTTTATTCATAATAACCCAAAACTGGAAACAATGCAATATCCATCAGCAGATAAATGAAGAGTGTGATACAGCCATACAATGGAATAACTATGCACCAATAGATATAACCTACTGATACATGCAACAACATAGATGAACCTCAAAAACATTACACTGAACAAAAGCAGAGAGACACAAAAAATATATACTACACTATATGCTATGGTTTAAATACTTGTGTTCCTCCAAAATTCATGTTGAAACTTAATCTCCAATGCAATAGTATTAAGAGGTGGGTCTTTGGAGGTAATCAGGTCATGAGAGCTCTTCCATTGTAAATAAGCTTAAGCCCTTTAAGAGAGAGGCCGCACACAACATCTGCCCTCACCTTTTTTTTTATTTTTTGCCTATCTGCCCTGTCTACTATGTGAGGACACAGTGTTCAAGTCACCATCTTCAAAGAAGAAACTGGGCCCTCAGACACCAAACCTGTTAGTGCCTAGATCATAACCTTTTTAGCATCCAGAACTGTGAGAAATAAATTCCTATAATTTATAAATTACCCAGTCTCAGGTATTTTGCTATAGCACCACAAACAGACTTAGACACTGTATGATTCCATTACTGGAACTCTAAAAAAGAAATTCTAATTTTTCTAAAAAGAAAGGAGAGAGTCATTGCCTGGAGCCAGCAGAGGTGAAAGGATTGATTGGGATGGGAAACCGAGGAATTTGCCGGTGTGATAGAAATGTTTTGTCTCTTCACCTATGGGGATAGTGACACAAGTACATAAACGTATCAAAACTCGTTGAACACTTAAAACTGTTGCATTTTATTACACAATGAGTCAAAAAGTGGAGTTTTTAAAAACTCAATTATATTTCTTCCTGGAGCAAAGAAAGAGTCTGAGGTTTCTGGCTTGGGAAATCAGATGCATGCTGTGCCACCTACAGATGAGGAAACACAAAGCAGATTTTGAAGGAAACACAAAAAGCAGATTATCTGGGAAATCCTGAGCTTGAAATGTTCTTTAGAAAAATGTTTATTTAAATATCTTCTCCATTAATTAATTGGACTGTTTGGATTTTGTGCTGAATTACAGGAGTTCTATAGGATCACTGGATATCAATTCCTTATTAGATATATGAACCTGCAAATAAAATAGATGTAAAGGTCTGGAGAAATAAAAATTTGGGAAAAATCAGCACATATATGGCAAGTGAAGTCATGGCAGAAAATGAGATCACCCAGGTAATGTGTTTAAGGCTAACAAGAGAACCTTCAGCAGCACCAGGGATGGACAGAGACTGAGAATTCAGAGTGACAAGAGGAAAACTAGGAGAGTATGATGTCACAGAAGCCAAGGCTTGTATATTACAAGGAGGAAACAACAAAAGATTATCCACTCAAAGCCGGGTGCAGTGACTCACGCACATAATCCCAGCCAGCACTTTGGGAGGCTGAGGCAAGTGGATCACGAGGTCAGGAGTTCGAGACCAGCCTGACCAACATGGTGAAACCCCATCTCTACTAAAAATACAAAAATTAGCTGGACGTAGTGGTGTGCACCTGTAATCCCAGCTACTCTGGAGGCTGAGATAGGAGAATGGCTTGAACCCAAGAGGTGGAGGTTGCAGTGAGCCTAGATCATGCCACTGCACTCCAGCCTGGGCGACAGACACTCTGTCTCACAAAATAAATAAATAAATAAATAAATAAAAGATTATCCATTCAACTAAGTTACCCAGTCCTTAGGAACCCAGTGACAGCAGTTTCAGGGCAGTAGTAGTAGCAAAGGTCCAACTGCCTTGGGTAAAGGAGTCAAAGGAATATAAAGAAGTATAGGCATTTCAACAAATAATGCTGGGATACTTGGACAGCCAAATGCAAAAGAACGATGTTTGACACTGACTTTACATCACATACAAAAACTAAATCAATGACCTTAATGGCTCAAACACCCTAATGTAATAGAAAAAACTATAAAATTCTTAGAAAAAAACATAGGAGGAAATCTTCACGACCCTGGATTTGGCAATGGATTCTTACATGCAACCCCAAAAGCATGAGCAACCAAAGAAAAATGCAGATACATTTGACTTCATAAAAAATTAAAACTTTGTATATCAAAAGACACTACCAAGAAAGTGAAGACAACCCACCTGGAAGAAAATAGCTGCAAATCATATATCTGATAAGGAACTAGTATAAGGAATACATCAAGAACTCCTACAACTCAACAACAACAAACTAAACAACATGATTTGTAAATGGGCAAATTTAAAAACTGACAAAATATCTGAATAAACCTTTTTCCCAGGAAGATATACAAATAGCCAATAAGCATATGAAAAGGTACAAGATCATTAGTCATCAGGAAAATGCATATCAAAACCACAGTGAGTCCTGTGTTCATGTACTGGAAGCCTTAATAGTGGTAAGATGTCAATACTACCCAAAGCACTCTAGAGATTAAATGCATTATCTAGACTCCTAATGGCAGAATCCCAAAAATATAAAAATCCATCTAAAATGTATATGAAATCACAAGGGACCTTGAACAGCCAAAATAATATTAAAAAATAAAAAGTTGGACATCTCACACTTCTAAATTTCAAAAAGTACTATAAAACTATGGTAATCAAAAAACCGTGAGCCCGGCTCTCAACTCCTCCACAACAAAGGACCAAAAAAAGAGATAATCACGAGTCAGGTAGAGCACCAAAGACAGAACACTTTAATTCAGCAGGGAAGTGACAGGGAACCCTCTGAGGCACAAAAGGAACAGTAAACAAAGCAGCCAGTGTGTCTTGGATTGTCTCAGAGGCAGGAAGGACACTTCATTTCAAGGAAAAGAAAAGTGAAAGAACCCCAGTGGTCCACATTCCCAGGACAGATGCCGGCACCCACAGAGGATGCCATCAGCCTTCACGGGCCCTGAGCCCAGTATACGGAGCTGCCTGGACTCCATGCAAATGTGTTGTTCCAGAAAGGGAAATCCACTGGATCTTACTCACATTCCAAGAAACATGCTGCTGTGGCACAGCACCATTTTAAGAGTCTAGCCCCCACCAGATTATATCCTGCCTTGGGGTCCAATAGCCCCTGCAGTCCACATCCCTGAGCCCCCAGGAACACCCTCCCACATTCAACCAGAAGGCTGCAATATCACAACCACCCAGCAATGCAGCCAGGTTCCCAGTATTTTGACCCATGTAGTGTCTTATATCCCAAGAACAGGCAGTGTAGCACACAGGGGAGGCTGCCCCCAGGAAAAAGGGAACTGAAGCTCCCAGAATCTGGAAGCCATATTCCCAACACCAATGCCACCAAGAGAACCCTGCCCCTCTCAGGAGGGCAACAGCACACCTGCATGCACCTTCAGGGGGCCTGAGGACCAGTGTGTCCATATGTGCCATCCAAGAACCTAAAGACAGCCCTGCCCTACCCACTGCCACCAGTATTCCCAGGTGCCATCTTTCCTTCATGCGACTACTGGTGCCTACATGCTCTGTCAGGGAGCGTGAGTACTGGCCCACCCCATCCAACACTACTGGTGCCCACACACACAATCCCAAGGCCTGAACAGGCCTGCCCCACCTACCACCACCAGTGCCCACCCAAGTGCATCACCTAGGGAATGGAAACTAGCCCATTCATCCTGCCACAGGTACTGCCAACAGCTGTGATTGCCACCTGAGGGTCCAATGTCCAGCCCACTGCTGCTACTGCCAGCACCATAAATTTTGCCTTGGGGCTTGAGGACCAGCCAACCTGGGCCCCCACTACCATTCACTACCAGCGCTCACACCAGCTGGGGTCCTGAAGACCAGCATGCCCAGCCCACTGCCAGCCACCACAGCTAATGCCTGCACATGCCACCAAAAGGCCCAGGGACTGGCCCCTCTGGCACCCCTGTCTCCAGAAAAGCCCCGTGACAGCCTCAACTAACAATGACAGCTTAAGCCACTGAGGACTCACAAACACCAGTGACATTGACTACAGCTGAAGAAATCATTGATACTGTGCCCACCAGAATCAAAGCCAAAACATCCTACTCAGCCAAAACTATACATATGCCTACAAAAAAGTATTTCCTTATGAAAGCCAATCCATAAAATTGGAAGCAACTATTCCACTAGATGAATAGGTATCAATGTAAGGACACAAGAAACATGAAAAAGCAAGGAAACTTGCTCCAAAGAGATATAATACCTCCAAAGAGACACAATGATTCTCCAGTAACACATCCAAAAGAAAAGGAAATTCATAAAAATGCATGAAAAAGGCCAAACATGGTGGTTCACACCTGTAATCCCAGCACTTTGGGAGGCCAAGGCAGGCAGATCACTTGAGGTTGGGAGTTCAAGACCACCCTGACCAACATGGAGAAACCCCGTCTCTACTAAAAATACAAAATTAGCTAGGTGTGGTGCTGCATCCCCGTAATCTCAGCTACTAAGCAGGCAGAGGCAGGACAATCGCTTGAACCCAAGAAGCAGAGGTTGCAATAAGCCAAGATCACACCATTGTACTCCAGCCTGGGCAACAAAAGCAAAACTCTGTCTCAAATAATAAAATGCCTGAAAAAAAATTCAAAATAATGATCTTAGGGAAACTCAGCAAGTTACAAGAGAACCCAGATAATACAAATAAATTAGGAAAACAATTCATGATCTGAATAAGACATTCAACAGAGATAGACATAGAAAAATAACCAAACAAATCTTAGAACTGAAAAATTCAAAGAATAAAATTTTAAAATACAACTGAGAGCATCAAAAGTAAACTAGAGAAAGCAAAACAAAGATTTTCTGAAGCTGAAGACAGGTCTTTTGGAGTAATCCAGTCAGACCAAAAAAATGGGACACCATTAAGCGAACACATATTTAAATTGTGAGTGTTTCAGAAGAAGAAGGGCGAAAAGGCATAGACAACCTATTTAACAAAACGATAGTCAAAAATTTCTTAAGTCTAACAAGAGATACCGACACCCAGATACAGGATGCTCAGTGATCCCCAAAAAAATTCAAATCAAAAAGGTCTTCTGCAAGGCACATTACAGTCAAACTGTCAAAAGTCAAAGACAGAATTCTAAAAACAGCAAGCGGAAAGCATCAAGTCACATATAAGACTTTCCTGTAAAAAATTTTAAAAAGACACCACCTTACAGGTCAGGGGAGAATGATAAAATATATTGCAGTGCTGAAATAAAACTGTAAGCCAAGAATACTAAACTAAGTAAAGCTATCCTTCAAAATTGAAGGAGAAATAAAGTCTTTCCCAGACAAGTAAAAACTGAGGGAAGGAGGACCCAGGCCCTCAGAGGGGCCTCAAAGTGCCTCATCGTGCAGGCCCTGTGAAGGAGTGCCATCAAGGGTCCCTCAGGGTTCAGGAGTCACCTCTGGTGTCCCAGGACAGCCAGCAATTGCATCCAAGGTCAGAAGAGCAACAGGAGGGCTGCCCAGGCCCAGTTAGAAGATCAGATCTTGGCCACCCAAGAAATGGAGCATGGAGAAAGGGATCCAAAAACTGATGAGCACGGGGAAAGAAAACCTTTTGTAGAAACAGATGAGGAAGACAAGGGGGTTGATGTACAGAAGCTACAAGTAATTGCAGCTGCCATTAAACAGGGTCTTGCTGCGCACACACACACACACACACACACACACACACAGGCTTCAAATGTATACAAAAGTTTGCATCAACACTGAGAACAGAACTAAGCATATTTTGAAAACACAAAAGGCAGAAATGCAGTTGCTGACTTTGCTTTAAGAATACAACATAGACATGCAGAAGACTGAGGAGTGGAAGAAAAACAAATATTTCAAGAGCAACAAAAGAGGTGGCAACAAGTTAGCATTGTTAGAAGACAGCAACTGAAAGAGATTAAGTGGCTATATGAACAAATCATGTAGAGTATCATGAAACAACTCTTTTCAGTGAAAAAAGTCAACTTAAAAAACAAATCACCAAGTTCCAAGATAAAATGGTATAGAAGACACTGCAGCAAGAGTTAGCACTGATTCATAACTTGAGCTACACTAAAGTGTTTTGATATTCTTGTATAAATCAGTATATCTCTTCTATCATTAGTCTGTTAAATGCCGGACCTCATTTCTGTGATCTGCCGAATGAACCCTAGACAGTTATGTGAGAAAGCAGCAAATGCACAGTTATATACATGGTCAGTTCAATTTTAACATTAATGATAATTTAAAGAAAAAAAAAAAAAGGCCAGGCGCAGTGGCTCACGCCTGTAATCCCAGCACTTTGGAAGGCCAACACAGGTGAATCACGAGGTCAGAAGTTTGAGACCAACCTGACCAACATGGTGAAAACCCATCTCTACTAAAAATACAAAAATTAGCCAGGCGAAGTAGTGCACACCTGCAATCCCAGCTACTCGGAAGGCTGAGGCAGGAGAATCGCTTGAACCGAGAGGCGGAGATTGCAGTGAGCTGAGATTGTGCCACTGTACTCCAGCCTGGGCGACACAGCAAGACTCTGTCTCAAAACAACAACAACAGGGAATCATCACAACTAGATCAGCCCTACAAGCAATGCTTAAGGGAATCCTACATCTGGAAGAGAAAGCCATACAACCCTGAATGCACCCAATCTCATCTGATCTTGGAAGAGACAAGATGGTATCTACCAACATGAAAACACACAAAAGCTTAAAACTCACTGGTAGAGCAGATACACAAATAAGAAAAAGGAGTCAAACATTATGACTATTAAAAAAAAACCCACCAAATTATGAAGTAAATAATATAAAATAAGATAGGTGAAAACCTGTCTCTATTAAAAATACAAAAATTAGTCAGGCATGGTGGTGGGCACCTGTAATCCCAGCTACTTGGAAGGTGGAGACAGGAGATGCTTGAACTCGGGAGGTGGAGATTGCAGTGAGCCAAGATGATGCCACTGCACTCCAGCCTGGGAGACAGAGCAAGACTCCGTCTCAAAAAAGAAAACGGAAGATAGAATATAGGAACAAAATATATACAAGACAATCAGAAAACAACAGAAGCACAGGACTAAGTTCTCACCTATCAATAAAAACCTTGAATGTAAATAATTTAAATTCTCCAATTAAAAGATATAGACTAGCTGAATGGATTTTAAAAAAAAAATTCAACTATGTTACCTATAACAAACTCACTTCACATGTAAAAACACATATAGACTGAAACTGAACAGATGAAAAAAAATATTCCATGCAAATGGAAACCAAAAGAGTGCAGGAATAGCTATACTTATACATAATAGACTTTAAGTCAGAAAACACAAAAAGGGACAAAGAAGATCATTACATAATGATAAAGGGATCAATTCAGCCAAAGGACGTAACAATTTTAAATATATATGCACCCAATATCGAAGCACTCACATATATAAACAATATATATGTGATATATAAACATTATTAGAACTAAAGAGAAAGACCCTAATACGAATAATAGCTGGGGATTTTAACGCCTCACTTTCAGTATTGGGCAGATCATCTAGACAGAAACATTGGACTTAATCTACATTAGAGATCAAATGGACCTAATACACATTTACAGAACCTTTCGTCCAACAGCTGCAGAATATACATTCTTCTCATCAGCACATGGACCATTCTCCAGCAGACCATATGTTAGACCCCAAAACAAACCTCAACAATTTTTAAAAATCTAAATCATATCAAGTACCTTCTCAGACCACAATAGAATAAAAGTGGAAATTAATAACAAGAGAAACTTTGGAAACTACAAATCCATGGAAATCTAACAATCGGCCAAACATGGTGACTTGTGCCTGTAATCCCAGCATTAGGGGAGGCCAAGGAGGGTGGATCACCTGAGGTCAGGAGTTTGGGAACAGCCTGGCCAACATGGTGAAACCCTGTCTCGATTAAAAATACAAAAATTAGCCAGGTGTGGTGGTGCACCTGTAATCCCAGCTACTCGGGAGGCTGAGGTGGGAGAATTGCTTGAACCTGGGAGGCGGAGGCTGCAGTAAGCCAAGACCACGCAACCGCACTCCAGCCTAGGCAACAGAGCAAGACCTCGTCTCAAAAAAAAAAAGTCTAACAACCAATGCGGAACACATGCAAATGTACACGTGGATGTGAACAAAGAACCATATGGCTAAGTCATAAAAAACAATGAAACACAAAACTCAGGCAAAAAACTCCACCCTCAGAGTAGAATGCTATAACTTCCATTCAGCGCTTCAATCCCACCTTCACTGGCTGGACTGGTTTTCACAGCATCTCTCTTGCCCGAGACATCACGGTATCTCTAAGCGTATCCAAGACCTTCTGGTAGGTGTCCAGAATGTCCTGAGCAGTGGGCCTTTCTGAGGGAGTCTGGCTCTTGCATGCTTTGTGAATATCAAACAAATGGAATCGGACCATATCACTCCCTTCAACGTGCCCCAGAAGGAAACTGGAGATGTCTGGGATCTTCCAAATGTCGATCTTCTCGTCATATGAGGGCATGAGATCATCGCGGAAAGGCATGTCCTCTCTGTAGGGCCACAGTTGCTCTGGAGCCACAAAATCCCCATGCAGCTCCCTGTGGCCACACTTTACCAGCGTCCCAGAGCTGTGGTTCACCAGAGGTAAGGCGTCCAAGTCATTTGCCACAATGCTGAAGTTGCTTGTCAGCAGATACTGGGACAGTGTCTTCGGCAGGTCGTTGGAGTCGCACATGACCCGCGTGCCCACAGGGCTGTGGTGCAGGTAATGAATGATGCTGACATAGTCCATGGCCAGCTGCAGCCTGTGCTGCCATGTGTTCACATTTTGGTACTTTGAAAGATTTAGTATTTCTTCCAGGTTACTCAAGGAACCTAGAGGATGATATTCAGTAAGAATAGTGTTGTCATCCTCACAATAGCCAAGCAGCGTGACAACATGTGCACCTTGTAGAGATTTCAGCATCTGCAGTCCATGGAGGAAATCATCTTTCATCTCCAGGCTGGTGAGCCGTGAGAGAGCAACTTTGCGCTCCTTCCACTCAGACAGAAAGACCTGCAACAAAGCCACAGAGAACATCAAGCCTGAACTCTCACCTAAATTAGTGACCAGAAATAACATGTTTCTTTTAGTAGCAGGTGTTCTGCAGAAGACACAGAAATTAATGAGGGGCAGACTCTGTTAGAGTTGCTCTCCATCTAGTTATGAAGATGGACTGATGAGCAAGCACAGCATTCAGCAAGGCAAGTGCCACATCAGTGGGTGGAACCTCAGGGCAGGAAGTGACTGCCTCTGGGCAGGACACTGAGAACTGCTACAGAAGGTGCTGGAAGACTTCTGGAAACTGGTCTTACAGGACAAGGGGGACTTGCAGATTCGATGTGGGGCAGGGGAGTGCTGGCTCAGGAAGGAAGACTCCATATAACCGCACGGCAGAGAGGAGTGGCAAGTAGACTGCCAGTTCCAATTGGCCACCACACAGTGGGTGGGCAAGAGGAGGAGGCAGGGGAGTGGCCTGGAAAAGTGGATGAGTGTGGAGACCCTGAAAAGCCTACCTGAGGGTACAGAGCCCTGCCCATCAGATGTAACAATGTTACCCATTAATTTTAAAAGGTAGCATAGTAAATTATAAATAGGAATATTTACATGTAAGAAAAACATTTTTACATGTTCCATGGTTTTGTATTACTTCAGCTATAAAGACAGGACCTGAAATGCTACACAAACACTAGACCTTCTCATAGAGTCCACAGCTAATATAGAAGAGCAAGTGCACATTTCTGCCTTGGATTTCTGTCTTTCATTTGCTTGCAGGAAGCACTGTAATTAAGGAAAGAACCTCTGATCTTTTGCTTAAATCCAAAGAGAAGGCAGAAGATTACAAAAGAGAAAGCAGGCTCAGGACTCAGGAGATCCTTGCCCCACGCTCGTTCTGCAAGTGATGTGCCGTATCATTGTTCAATTAAAGGTTACGGTTTCCAAAGCAGTTTTTTGCATTATTTATCAAGGGACTGTAACACCTAAATCTAAAATCTAAGGCAATAATCTGAAATAGGTAAGAAGTTCTAGGAATAAAAATATGGCATTATTTATAGAAGCATAAACTGAAACATCAAGAGATGGGGAGCAGTATCATAAACATAGTGAGAACCCATCTTTACAAAAAACTTTTTAGAAATTAGCAGGGTGTAATGGAAAATACACATACCTCCAGCTACTCAGGTGACGCTGAGGTGGGAGGATCATTTGAGCCCAGGTAGTAGAGACTGCAGTGAGCGATGATCACATCACTGCACAGCTGGGCAACAGAGTGAAACCTTATCTCAAATATATATATATCATGGGGTCACCAAAATGTATACATTTATAGAGTTATAACAGATAAAAGTAATGTTGCAAATAAGAAGTATATAAAACCATTAGTACAATATTGTTCCAACTGCATAAAACAAGACAAATTTCTACGTGCTGTAACACATAGGTAAGTAGACACATTACCGAATGAGAATATCTATTGCCATCATTACCCTCCAAAGTCTGTGCTAGCACGCACTTTCACCAGCAGCGCCTGAGAGAATCTTAGGAATACACCCTTTGTCACACCAGATGTTACCAATGTTTGTAATCTATGCCAATCAATGGATGAAGATACCATTTCCCTATTACTAATGAGGCTGGGCATTTGTCATCTTTTTAGGCATTTCTGTATTTCTGCTGTCAAAAGTCTGTTCACTGTCCTTCGTCCAATTTTCTACAGGGTTGTCTGCCTTGTGCTTATTAATTACTAGCTCTTTATATTCAGCTCACCCTTGAACAACATGGGTTTGAACTGTGCAGTTCACTTACACATACATTTTCTTCTGCTTCTACCATCCCTTCGATACTAAGACCAACCTCTCCCCTTCCTCCTCTCTCCTCAGCCTACTAACCGTGAAAAAAACAAGGATAAAGAAAGACCTTTGTGACGGATGATGGATCCACTTCCACTTCCTGAACAGTAAATGTATTTAATGAACAGTAAATGTATTTTCCCTTATTTTCTTAATAACATTTCTCTATCTTAAGAATACAGTATATAATACTTACATAAAGTACAGTTAACCAACTGTTTATAATATCAATAGTAGGCTTTTAGTTGTTAAGTTTTTGAGGAATCAAATAGTATAAGCAGATTTTTTATCATGTGGGGGGTCAGCATCACTATCTCCACATTGTTGAAGGGTCAATGTATTACCTATGAGACCTTTTATTATAAATGTAAAAGACAAGATCCAGAAAATAATTATCCCAGACACAGTGGCTCACACCTAGCACTTTGTGAGGCAGAGGCAGGAGGACTGCCTGAGCCTGGAGTTCAAGACCAGCCTGGGCAACATAACAAGACCTCAACTCTTTAAAAAAAGTTTGTTTTAATTACCCAGGCATGGTGGCACACATCTGTGGTCCCAGTTACTCAAGAAGCTGAGGTGGGAGGGATCGCATGAGCCCAGCAGTTCGAGAGTGCAGTAAGCTATGATCGTACCACTGCACTCCAGACTGGGCAAAAGAGGCAGACTCTGTCTCTAAAAAGGAAAAAGAAAACTTAGTGTGGTATTACAAGAATGTAATTGCTATGTAGTCATATGCGTCATCATTACATCAATAAACTAAGTCCTTGTCACCACTGAAATTTAGACACTAGTGCAGGAGGCAAACAATTAACAAAATACATAGGAAATGAATAAAGTATGAGAAATTCGCTTTAGAGAAAAACTAAGCAGGGATGGTTTGCAGTTTTAAACAGGGTTGGAGGAGTTCTCACTGGGGTGGTCTTTGAGCAAGACCTCGAAGGAAATAAGGGAAGGAGCCATTTGATATTTGTAGAACTACAGCCCAGATAGAAAACAGCAAGGGCAAAGGGCCCTGGGGTGGAAGCATGCCCACAGGCTTCCAGAACAGCATGGGCCTGACGCTGTAATAGACTGGACACGGACCATGGAGCAAGAGAGAGCTGGCGAGAGGGTACAAGCCTCCCAGGGCCTTGTCATTGCAAGGGTTCTTTTGCTCAGAAAGAGACAGAGAGCCACCAAAGGATTTTGAGCAGAGAAGACACTATTGACTAATAATTTAGTAGAAGCATTCTGAGTGCTATGTTGAGAACAGACTGAAGAGGTGGGGAGCAAGTGTGGAGCAAAAAGACCATTTTGGAGGCTGATGAAACAATCTAAGTCCAGGGTCACAGTGGCTTGGAGGGGCTGGACTGAGAACTGGTGTAAGCCTGAGGAGTGGTCAAGCCCAGTTCTCTTCTGAGAGGAGAAACAATGTAACTTGTGGATGAACTGAATGTGGAGGTGAGAGAACTCAGGATGTTGCCCAGACAGGTGGCCTGAACAGTGGGACTGAGGGAGTTAGGGAAGAATAAAGGGTGGGTGGGCTCTCAAGGAGATCTGGGACACAGTGAGTTTGAGAAGCCTCTCAGACACCCAGGTACATGTGGGGTTCGCAGCTGGACAGAAAAGTCTCGAGTTCAGGAAAGTGGTCTCTGCACAGATAAAGCCAGAAAGCTGGGTGAGGTCACCCAGGGGCAAGTATAGAAGATGAAAGGTCTGGGGTTGAAAGGGATGAGGAGGTAGAGCTGGCAAGAAGCCGAGGAGTGGACACTATTCCTCCATGCTTTAAACAGACTGTTCATGTGACATCTTTCCAGATGGCAAGCATTAAATACAGCCTCAAGCATTAAGACATCACAAAGGATCCTTCCAAAGGTTACACAAAGTGAGAGCTACAAAATAATGCAAGAGAAAGAATCAAATCCACTCTTGAAAGGATTCAACCCATACTATATGGATTTTTAATGTACTATACAGCAGGTCCTTCAATTAGTCATTTCATTATAATGATGAGAAAAAAAATTGACTCCTGGCGCTGCTATAATCTTCCTCCTTCTCACTATTCCTGTTGCCCCAAATCTACATTCCAGACTTTGGGCAGCTCCCCAGACACAGGGGTGCTGTGTTCTTAAGATGATGATGACAGTGCATATCTGGTCCTTTAAATGTAATCTTGGGTTTAAAAATCTCAAAGGCATGAGTCCCCAACTGTATCCCCAGGGAATAAATTGGGGAGAGAGAAAGCAAGAAGAGAAGGGAACTTCTGCTTTATACTTCACTCCTACTAATATTTGAATTGAGTGTACTGCTTTTATAATTTTTTAAAAGAAGAATAAAGAAGAGGAACGATCCAAGATGGCCGATCGATAACAGCTCGGGATTGCAGCTCTCAGTCAAAGCGCAGAGAACTAGAGGACACCATACTTTCAGACAAATTCTGGTCACTCACGGAGCAGAAGATCGCCAGTGGAGAAACCACACAGGCTGCCAGCGCGACTTTTGTGGCCGGCGCAGCAGTTTCGCCGGCACCTGGCACGGCAGCTCTTGGAGCAGAGTAAACAGAGCAGGCTCCCCTTCTGACCGAGGTTTGGAGGACCCACATGGGTCCCCAGCACGACTCCTGAGACCAGCGCAGCGGCTGTGACGGCACCTCAGCGCGGCAGCTCTCGGCGCAGAGTAAACGAGACTGGTTCCCCTTCTGACCGAGGTTTGGAGCCCGGGGAAGGCAGAGTCACCCATTACGGACGCAAGAAGGAAGCCAGACAGGAGAATCCTGGGCAGAAAAGCACCATCAGTCTTAACGCTGCCATTCTGGCCCTGGGAACTAACAACTTGGACATCCAATCAAGAGACCTAATCTGAAAGTTGGTAATTTCAAAGACGACAGGAGGATAAATTTACAATGATGGGAAGAAACCAGCGTAAAAAGGCTAAGAATACTCAAAATCAGAACGCCTCTCCCTCTAAAGATGATCACAGTTCCACATCAACAATGAAACAAGGCTTGACGGAGAACGAGCGCATCCCAATGACAGAATCACTCTTCAAGGAATGGATAATAAGAAACTTCTGTGAGTTAAAAGAACATGTTGTAGCCCAATGTAAAGAAACTAGGAACTTTGAAAAAAGGTTTGACGAAATCCTATTGAGAATAGACAACTTAGGGAGGAATATAAGTGAATTAAT